GTGAGAAAATAATAATATAAATATTCTGTGTTTCTTCACTAAATTCTACATTCTTTATACAGTTTCAGTTTAGCAAAATAAAATGGTGAATGAATATTTCCTGAGTACTCACATGAGTAACTGAGTATAGTAACTGAGTATTCCCATGAGTAACAATACTCAGTTTTATATTTCTCGAAATGTCTATGTTATTTGAAATACATTGATCGGAATATCTTAGAATTTCTCCTTGTCCAATAGGAATGATTGTATTACTAATTGTACATTAACTTATTTCAAACAAATAGGTGATTATCAAAAATCGTGGAAGAATTCCAGTTGAGCTGATATAATCGATGACATTTATTTCGTTATGCACTTTTCTTAAAAATGCATATTTTCCGAGTTTTCCTGACATAATAAAATAATTAATTTTAGAAATATTTTGACAAAATAAAATCACGAAATAACAATTAATGTATTGTTATTATACATCAATCGAAAGCTTTTGAAAAGGAGAATCTAATGAGTGTTTGCAGAACTTTATCGGCACATATACATGCCTATAATAAGAGCGTAAAGATGCGGATGACACGCTCACCCATACCCTCTTATTTTTAGTTTTTTATTTGATGTAGAAGGGCCGTAGAAAATTATTTTTTATCAAAAGATTTCTCGCTCTTTACTCTACCGAATAGTAAAACAGAATTGGCGTTTGCTTTTGCATTGGCTTCAGTAGATTGAATTTAATCTGTCGGGACGTAAACTGGTCAAAGTATATATTTAGCTAATCTCTGCAAGATTGGATCAGAAAATTCAAACCAAAGTTGTGATCAATTTATATGATGAGAAAGAGAAAAGTCTTAGCTACAAAATGGTTATAATAAATTATTTTTATCTATTCTACGTTAATAAAACAACGATACAAGAACTGTACGACTCAAAAGCCAAATTATCGAGTAATTCGAAATGATCACCAAAAACCCGATACGCAGTTTTTTCAATGAAACTCGAACAAACCCGAATTCCTGTATTTCGGTCAAAAGTGATATCCTTCAACGTTATTTGTAAAATTAGTCTGTCTCAGTAAGAACTTCGAAATGATATCTATTATATAAGATAAAATGAGTTGGCTACTTCTGACAAATAAAGGAGTTAGAAGAATTTCCGTTTTTCCACGGCGGAGTTTTGGAACATCCTGCACATCGATTCCTTTGATTCGTTTTTTTACAATATCAGGAATCGAAAACTTAGCGAACTGGTCAAATAGTCATAGAAATGTTTTTAAGAACCGCGTCTCACAGCAAAAAAACAGGAAATGTTCGTCTTTGAAACGTTAAAATTCACCGTAATTCCACCTTCTCGTCCATGAGGTTACATATGTGAATTTTTTTCACGAAAGTGTCAATATACTCAGTCAATATACTGAAACAGTTGTTGGAATCAAACATAGGTTTGCTCATCTTATTTCTAGAACCGTGGGATCTTAGTAAATTGCAATCAATTGTTTCCCATTTCGCCAGTGAGTTTTTGTTTGTTGTTGCTCATCTTTATCTTCGAAGATTACTTTCGTCTAAACTCTACCAAATTAACAGATAACAGTAGCGAAACGACTATCGTTGATTCAAAAGTTCTAATTCGTCTTCTGTTTTCAATCGTGAACAGATAGAACAACTGAGTCAATCTCTGGAAAATATTTCTGTACCTATTCAAATTACATCACCCATGATTATAAATAATCTGAAGGAGCTCGAGTCCAATGTTAATGACAACTTACCTCTGGAGCGAAAGAAGTTTACACTAGTGGTAGGAGAAGAAGGTAGTGGTAAGACAATACTGTTGAAGTGGTTGACATATGTATTCGCACAAGGATTTCGTCGAGACTGCATGAAGCAACGTAATTTACCAATTTTTGCTCATTTGTCAGATATTTTAGATATGAGAAATGAAGATTCAGCATATTCGTTTCTTCATTGTCTACATCGTGTGTCATGTCGAATGCTACAGAGTTTATTCGACATTATACTGAAATGGGCACGCATTGATCCTACTCGATGGCTTGGAGAAATTCAAAGGATGTTCGAATTGTTCGCTTATTTGTTGACGAATATGCAACTTTCAATGCAATGCTTATTACGAGCCGCAATGATCAATTGCTACAGGGAAATGGATATTCACTTCCACTACTAACAAAAGATGCAGATGTCCGTTTTTGTGAATATTGTCTGATCAATATGTGCACACAACTTGTTGGCCTGGCTTTGTCTTTGCAGTCGATATCGTGGACGGGCAAGTGGCGAACATCAGAGTTGTTAGAGCAAACCAAGAAATATTTGCCTGAAACTCCAAAGCTGTTTGTTGTTGTATCTGTTTTGGCACTAAAAAAATCTATTCGACGAATTGATATCTATAATGTATTGAGTGAAACTATGTTAAATGCATATTATGAACGCCATGCGACGGGTATTTCTCAAAAAGTTCTCGTTTATTTGCTTACAGAACTGGCTGCTCACATGACACAATATCTAGCGACAAATACTATTGAAGAATTCAATATTCGCGGGAAATATCGTTGTGCACTTGAAATTAAACCCCATCGCATCGAAACTCCACGAATGGTCGATGATATTGTACAATTATTAGCAGACAATATCGGTTTATTGAGTGCAGTTGGCAAAGGTTCTCAATGTCTTTACCGGTTTCGATATTCACTGTTCCAAGGTTATGTGCAAATGTCTTGTACAATCTTCGATCAATGGCGGTAGAGTGAATCGGCAAAAGAGACAGCTCTTCGATGTCTGTATTACATGACAATGAAACAATTTCGTGAACCATTGCTGTTAGCTACTGACTGGGTTTGCTCTCGCTAATGGGATTCACTACAATATGTCGATTTATTCTTTGACCAATTGATGAGCATGCATGGCGAACAACTCAATCAACATCTACCGTTAGACGCTATTCTTTTCCTGTCGAGTTTAGATGATATGGAACGATTGCCAATATGAATTTCTTGTGGAGAAACATGAATCCCTTGACGAGAAAACACAAATTCTTGTGGAGACACAGCGATGTTTTGACGAAAAACATGAATTTCTTGTGGAGAAATACGAATTCCCTGAGAAGAAAACATGTAATTCTTGTGGAGAAACATCGACTTCTTGACGAGAAAACCTGAATTCTTGAGGAGAAACATGAATTCCTTGACGAGAAAACATAAATTCTTGTAGAGAAACATCGATGTTTTGACTTTACTAGACGAGTTGTCCCATGGGATCCATGAGATGGGATGGGATGAAATGAACTGTACATCCCATGGAATAAATGAATCTATTCCATGCAAGAGTTTTCCGTCTCATTTCAGCTCATTCAAAGCTCTAATTGAAAATTACCATACGAAGTTATTGTATGTTAGTAATATCAGTAAAGAAAAACTTTCCTTTAAAATATTTTCTGATAATTAATGATGAAACTTGTTGAAATAGATAAAATGATATCGTTTTCTTAATATTAATACAGATTGCATGCATCTAAATAATAATCTAATTTAGTTTAAAATGAATAAATTCGTTTTTCTATTTAAAAACAAAGTTTGATTATCTTTCATCTGATATAGTTGTTGTTTTAAATGTTGCTGGTATGCACAATGCTTTACATAATAAAACGTTTTAACTGAAGAACACAAAATACAGAAACTATTGTTGGATTATTTTTAAAATGGCAACCACCATTTTTTGAATAACTCTCGATCGCTTATAGCTATCGAGCTCCCGAGTGTAACAAGGAGGGTGATTCCGCAGATTCCTGCGGAAAAATATTTTTTCGTTGAGAATTTCCATTTTTCTGCGGGAAAGGGTAATTCAAAACGAATTTTTTTTCCGAACTATGCAAAAATTTTTCTCAAAATGTTTTTCACACAGCGAGTACGATTTTATGAACTACGACTTTCATCATGAAAAGAAAGTCCTTCTGATATTAGGCAGTGGCTTCAGAATCGAAGAGGTAGAATACGATGTATGAACATCTTGAAATCCTTCAAGGGATTTTTGAATAAAAAACGCATTTTTCACTCAAATCTCGTCAAAATACATTCATATAGGTTAAAAACCATTGCGAATTACATGGCAATGATGTCAGGATCTCTAGGAGGTTTCCAGAGGATCTCTGGACAACTTTGCTAGCTAAAAACCCAAATTACTATAAAATGGGAGTGCGAATGTAAAAAAGTGGCCTGAATGAGTGTGACACCTTCTGGAAACATATGGTTGGATCGCATCCCACTAAACGAAACACGGTATTTGAAACAAAGAGCGATGTTTATTTGTTTTTTTATGGAAAATATTCACTCATTCTAATCGAAGTTTTACGAGTTTTTAAACGTTTTTAGATTCATATAAAAAATGCCACGACCAAATAAACGCAAAAAACACACTACTAGTATGAATGAACGCAGATCAAAAGAAACGCCCGATTTTTTTTTCGTTTTGAAGGTCAGTAAACTTGAAAAGTTAGCAGCAGAATACAATGTTAAAATAATGTTCACTCCCAAATATCACTGTGAAACTAATCCGATTGAAGGATATTGGTATCATTCCAAGCAATATATCCGTAAAAAAACGGATCAGTTTTCAAAAAATTGATTATTTTGATGCCCGAAGCAAAACAAAGTTTCATCGATCGAGAAATTGATTTAAAGCTGTTTCGTCGATTTTGGAAAACCATACAGGCTTAAGGTGAAGGAAAAGATTACCGAGAAGTTCTAACGATGTTTTTCAGCGGATTGTGCAAAGATAAAATCATAAGTCATCGTAAAATAACAAATGCTAATTTAGATGATTGAAATGTATATTTCTGAACAGT